CGACGCCTCGCGGGAGTACGTGACCCGCTCCGCGTCGAGGGGCGAGCCGTCGAGATCGCCACCGATCGCGCGGTAGACCTCGTGCGTGGTGTCGAGGGTGTCGCCGCCCGACCTCGCCCTGCTTGCCCGGCCGCAGCCCTGGCGCTCCGCGTGGAGGCCCGTGTCGGCATCTGGTCGCGGTTGGAGTCGTATAAGCAGCGAACCGGCGGCAGGCGGCGGGCGAACGTCAGGGCGGCGTTGCGGGAACACTTGTTTTCCTCTTCATCGTGAGCGTGGTCGATCGCGCGCCTGGATCTGCAGTTAGAGTGCTCTACAAGTTCCTATCTTCGGCGGAAATATCTGACGAGGCTCTGCGTCGGGCCCAGAACGACGCGTTGTTATATCGCGAGCTTGCGTTGGTTCGTTCCCGACGCCTGTAGATTGAGTGGAGTGATTGTTGCTGCTTACGCTACGGTCAATGGGGGTCCCATGTCTCGACAACCCCGAATATTCCTCGGCACGTGTTTTGGAGGTGTTGAGTAGAGGCGGGTATTAAAGGCCACCCGAGTGTTAGCGACCACCTGGCTTAAAAATTCATATCTTGCCAACAATATCGGGGAATGCCTTTTTTTTTTTGTCATGGACCATGCCGATCGTTTAAGCGCAAGTTTGCTCCAGCTGGATAAAAACTGAGCCCTCTATAGCGTTCGGCGCCAAGGTGGCGTACGATATCCCAGCCTTTCTCGATTTATTTATTTTCCAGCCGCTAAGTGCGTGTTAACGAAGTGCCGAAATCAAAATCGAAAATCAAAATCGAGATCTGATTGGTCGAATATCTGCTACCTCCTGATGACGCCCTTTGATTTTTAGAAGTTCCTCTGTCTGGGAAGAAGTCCCAAGGGACTTTTTCTATCAAGATCAACATCAAAGAGGCAAGGAGTTCAAGGAGTTTGCCGCGAGGCCGCTGCAAAGCAAGTGCACGACACGGCCTGCTGCACACTGCTCATAGAGGGGCTATCGGCACCCTACCACCGAGACCATGGCCATTATTTGTAGCCAGAAGGCTCTGCTCGCCGGCACGCCATAAACGGGCCGGCTCGTTGGGTGCTCGAGGAGAAATGCCGATCGTGACAAGCGGTGAACGGACTGACGATCAGAACAGGGCTGCGCGGCTTTTCCGGGCTGTTCCGTGCGGGAGAGGGCAGTTGCAACCTTTTTTCTCCACACTCACGATACCCCATGGCATCTAACCTTGTACGAGACAGATGGTGGGTAAAGCTACCTCCCGTCGCGTGGCATTGTTAATGCTGTTGCTTCCTCCTTCGTATTTTTTTCTATAAACAGTCAAACGAAAACCAGGGGATTCTTCGTTTTTGTCCCCGGGTAAGCATTTTTTTTTTTTTAATTCTAAACGCTCGCTATTAGTACCATCATCATTGTTTGTGCCAAAGGAGAAGTTCTGGGAAGCAGTAGAACGAGCGCAATCACTAGTATTCAAGGTAGCCGTTAATACCCTCCGGGCCGTGTTTTCCCTCAATATTCCATCTTCAACTTGGGCAAACGGCTACCGCTGTACCTTGTCACTTATAACGATTTTTCTTCTTTTTTTTTTTTTTTGTTACGGGATAGATGGTAATGTTAGCTATCGTTCGATATTTAAATATCATCGTAACTCGTTGTATTGCCACAGAGCGAACTCTTGGCACCAGGGGTAGCTTAAGTGGCCTTTAACCCTTACGTGAGTACAGGCCGATTCAGCTCCGTCCTCACCGCCGATCACTTTGCGTGCCGAAAGATCGCCGTTGTGCCTCGGCTAAGAGCAAACAACTACATAGATAGAGACCAGCAGGGAGACACAGGCAGCCCACCCCAAAAGCACGCTTATCAGCAAGGCGCACAGGACTCACATAGCACAGCACTATTCACCCATGCCTCATCTCTATGACGTGAGGCAGATATCCTTGCCAGATCCAATCTACTGCCTACCGATACTGCTGTAGTCTTCAGACTCAAACGCACAATACCATCGGAGGGTACATACAGCCCCTGAACATCTGCTCAACCCGGTGCCGCATCCGCGGGGGAGAGCAGAGAAAACGCGCACCGGAGCCGATGCTAACGTACGGCCTCGGTGCTTGATGTTGTTGTGGTTGCGGTGCGTGTGGTTCCCAGTATTGGGAGTGAAGGGTGGTTCGTCTGCTGTGTGCAAAAGTTCGCTCAAAGACGAGGGTTTTCGGGACTACAGCTCCAAGACAAGGGTTTTCGGGACTACAGCTCCGATCACAGCTCCGATCACAGCTCTCTATTTGTAGTACAGAGTAGTAAAATTTATCACGATTTTTATGCATTTTTTGCGATAGCGGGTGATGCTCTCGATTCTCTGGTGAGCGGGCCGTTTTTTTTTCTCCGTCGATCTGGCGCTTCTGTGAGGCGGTCTTCCGTCCGCGTCTTCGCATCTAGCGCCGCTAGCATATATATGCGCTTGCCCTATGCTCTGTCCAAGGATGAGGTGGAAAAGGTGTGCCAACAGATATTGCTTGCACAGGTACATCCTGTGTGCGGACGGTTGCTGTCGGAGACAGGCATGCACACCTGCTCAGGAACTACTGCTGCTGTACAGTCTAATTCTTTCCGCAAAACTGCTACTGCTGTACAGCAGTAGTACTACTGTACTCCTGTTCGTCACCCTTTTACATATACCGCGTCCCCATCCCTGTGAGCCCCACACATGGACCCACTGCTGCACCATCCTTGCCACCGTGATTTATGGGTGTACACGCATGCTTGGAAGATCTTTGACGGCAGAGAGCCAGTTGTGGGAAAATGAACACAAAAAATCAAATTAACCCAGTCACGCAAGGGTTAGTATCCGTCTCTACTATTTATCCAATACGGTAATACCAGACGCCTACCGCACGCGTGCTTCACTCATTGGCGCGTCCCGTGCTGACGCCCAGGCGACTTCACAATATGGAGAGTGCGCAGATGACATACTTTGGACGTGTTTTTTTTTTTTTTTCCTTCATAGCACTAACGGTGGATTTTTATTTTTTTAAACCTTGGATTCGGGGAACCCCAGTTCGCAGCGACACGGGTGCTTCCGCTCATTGGCGCGTCCCGTGCTTGATACGTGTTTGTTGTTTTTATCGATGCGTTGGATACGGTGAACTCCACTTGCCAACAGCGCGGGTGCTTCCACTCATTGGCGCGTCCGTTGCTGAAACTGACAACACATATGCAGCCTGGGTGCTTCCACTCATTGGCGCGTCCCGTGCTGATACGTGTACGGCTTTTGTTTTTCCGGTGAGATCGATTAACTCTACTCGCCAACAGCACGAGTGCTTCCACTCATTGGCGCGTCCCGTGCTGAGGCTGACATCACATATGCAGCACGGGGTGCTTCCACTCATTGGCGCGTCCCGTACTGATACATTATTTGTGGTCTTTTTCCTTCCGATGCGTTGAATTCGGTGAACTCTACTCGCCAACAGCGCGGGTGCTTCCACTCGTTGGCGCGTCCCGTGCTAAGGCTGACAGCACACATGCAACACAATGCGGTTAACTCTACTCGCCAACAGCGCGGGTGCTTCCACTCGTTGGCGCGTCCCGTGCTAAGGCTGACAGCACACATGCAACACGTTGCGGTTAACTCTACCCGCCAACAGCACGGGTGCTTCCACTCATTGGCGCGTCCCGTGCTGAAACGTGTACGGCTTTTGTTTTGTTTTTCGGTGAGATCGATTAACTCTACTCGCCAACAGCACGAGTGCTTCCACTCATTGGCGCGTCCCGTGCTGAGGCTGACATCACCTATGCAGCACGGGTGCTTCCACTCATTGGCGCGTCCCGTACTGATACATTATTTGCGGTCCTTTTCCTTCCGATGCGTTGAATTTGGTGAACTCTACTCGCCAACAGCGCGGGTGCTTCCACTCGTTGGCGCGTCCCGTGCTAAGGCTGACAGCACACATGCAACACAATGCGGTTAACTCTACTCGCCAACAGCGCGGGTGCTTCCACTCGTTGGCGCGTCCCGTGCTGAGGCTGACAGCACACATGCAACACGTTGCGGTTAACTCTACCCGCCAACAGCACGGGTGCTTCCACTCATTGGCGCGTCCCGTGCTGAAACGTGTACGGCTTTTGTTTTGTTTTTCGGTGAGATCGATTAACTCTACTCGCCAACAGCACGAGTGCTTCCACTCATTGGCGCGTCCCGTGCTGAGGCTGACATCACATATGCAGCACGGGTGCTTCCACTCATTGGCGCGTCCCGTACTGATACATTATTTGTGGTCCTTTTCCTTCCGATGCGTTGAATTTGGTGAACTCTACTCGCCAACAGCGCGGGTGCTTCCACTCGTTGGCGCGTCCCGTGCTAAGGCTTACAGCACACATGCAACACAATGCGGTTAACTCTACTCGTCAACAGCGCAGGTATTTCCACTCGTTGGCGCGTCCCGTGCTGATACGTTTTCGACTTTCGTTTTTTTTTTTTTTTATTATTATTATTTTTTTTATTGCGTT